ATTGCGAGTCGAGCTCCCTAACCACCTGGCCATGCCCAAACAAAAAGTAAACAAATATAACAACAAGATACTGAGGTAGACATATCTAAATAAAATCATAATAAAAATTAAAGTTAAACAAAATCAAATGAGTACCAACAGTAGTAAAACAACGAACTCTTATTATTCTTGTATACAGAGCATACAGACGAGATGTTAGACAAAACACGCGTTCGGTATTGCGTTGTGTTAACAATTTGTTTAAAGAAGAAGAAAAGAAGCGAAGTAGGCACTGTGGCACAGCTGCAAACTTTGAAAAACCACATACGTTCTACGAGTTATTAAGATTAAATATTATATTAATGGCTTGATCTTACTCTAGATCATCAGAGTTCTCAACTTTTAAAAATTGAAATTGAGAGGGGGGGGGGTAGTGCCCTCTCGCTCCAGCTGGAAGCTTTGGGAGAGCATTGTAGGATAATACTTCTTCAATTGCTCTAATGTCTAATTCTTTGCGTTTTGCTTTGATTAGTGGCATTGTTTGAACTGTTTCATGGTTTTAAAGACAGCTTTTGATTTTAAAAAAGCAAACTTAAAATTGCAGTTTCAAACCGGAAAACCTTTAAAAGGACAGGTTTGTAAAACGGGGTAGGGCAAGCGCCAACCGAAATAATATGCTGATAACCAAAAAATAGTACCGGAAAGAGTGCTGAATATCCAATGGTGGGGTCATGGTCTCACGCAACTAAGAACATTTCACAAAACAAGACAGTTAAGTAGTAAAAGAAATTGTTCCATTTAAAGAAGTGGGGGATTGTTACACTTTTTTTCAATGGTGGGGGTTAGCCTAGGGTGTCCATAAAATCAAGCTTGCGTTTGGGTAACGTATACAGCAATATTAAAAGGATAAAAAACCCTATAAAAACAAGTATAAACCTATACACAAGTTAACTATCAGTAACACACACAAAAAAAAACCGAGACTAAGAAAAATGAGCGTTAGATATCAAATGATAATTTGTCATATATAACTGAGATTTTTTATCTTATTCATATATTTTTTATGTACAGCACCGGTCTCGAGCAGGAACAAAAAAAGCGATTGTTTTAAAGTGAAAATGTACTAATTAATTTTATCTATCGCAAAAGTGCGTCAAAGACTGTGTAGGCTTAATCCCTTAAAACAACAGACAATTTTAGTGAACCGTGGACTCGATTATACCTTGCTGCTTGGGTTTGTTGGTTTTTGAGTGCAAAGCTGAATAATTGACTAGTTATGCTGTGCACACTGCGATGATCCAACCTCGAATTTTAACCCTGCTGCTTGGGACATCACACTTGGTAAGATCGGTCTTTGTGTAACAACTTGCTCGGGTTCTCACACTTGATAAGATCGGCATTTGTGTAATAACTTGCTCGGGTTCTCACACTTGATAAGATCGTTCTTTGTGTAACAACTTGCACGGGTTCTCACACTTGATAAGATCGATATTTATGTAACAACTTGCACGGGTTAACTACAAATGTTTGTTTGTTTGTTTTGAATTTCGCGCATAGCTACACGAGGGCTATCTGCGCTAGCCGTTCCTAATCTAGCAGTGTAAGACTAGAGGGAAGGCAGCTAGTCATCATCACCCACCGCCAACTCTTGGGCTACTCTTTTACCCACGAATAGTTGGATTGACTGTCACATTATAACGCCCCCACGGCTGAAAGGGCGAGCATGTTTGGTGTGACGGGGATTCAAACCCGCGCCAACTACAAATGTATTTTAGCTTTACTGCAAAAATGTAGTGTAATATATTCTTCTTAAGATAAAATAGAACGGTTGTAATTATGTTTGGAAAACGAAGACGAAAATTTTCGAATCCTTTTACAGTTGCGCATCAGAAGTTAACCTGAACAAGGATGATATTAGAACACGCCAGATTTATTCTTATAAGTGATTTTCAAAAAAACATTAAAAACTGTTATGTTTGTCACATATTATGGTTGAACACAATTTGTGCAAATTAAAAAGTTAGCGGCTTTATTGTTTGACATATATACCTCGCAGGAACATAAATTATATTATTACTATATTATAAAATAATAAAAAAATAAACATTAATACATTAAATACACAAACCGTATACTTTAGGAATGTGAAATCTTATGAACTGCTACATCTTATTTCACGAACTTTTACAGGGTCAGGAAAATGAAGTTTTTTATAGTATTTCATTCACGGGTAACAAAAAACATCGAAAAAATGAATTTAAAAGACCCATTTTTGAATATCCGAATGCTTTTCAGATCGAAACAGATCAAACGTGTTTAGAAAATCTGTATTTGGTTCAGATAGAAGCACTAAAAAAAATAAAATTAACACAATGAAACAACACTGGAAACTAACAAGTGTGACAGTGACACCGATATTATAGTTAAAAAAATGGGGCATTATTTTTTTT